GATAGATAGATAGATAGATAGATAGATAGATAGATAGATAGATAGATAGATAGATAGATAAGATGATAGATAAGATGATGGATGGATGGATGGATGGGAGAGATATGGGTGGCTGTCCAGCTAGATTGGCTGGCTGGCTGGAGAGAGAGAAGATAGATAGATGGATGATATCCATTTGTTTCTTTAGCAGCCCAGAATGCTTAGCTAAAGATGGGTAGCTATGAAGGATGAGTGAATGAAGGGATGGAGATGATAGATAGACAGACAGTTAGGAGAAATGTCTTCAACTGGTCCCTTAATGACAAGTTACAACAGACCCATCCCACCAAAAAAACTAATTAGGATGCATTTTCAAAGTGAAATGGCTGCCCCAATCCCCCAAGTCATGTGATTTCATTTTGGGCACATGAACTAGTGGGAAGAGCTTCAGGAAGAGCAGCTCCTGAAAAGCCTTCTAATCCAATGTATGCATGCAGCAGAATATTTAACACTGTGCATTTATATACAGCCAGAAGCCACACCAAAAAGTGGGGGGGGAAAAAAAGCAGAGGAATTCCACGACAATATAGGTCTGTTTGCGGATAGGTAGCCCTTGACTTAACAATAGTGTCAATTCAAAAATATTTCTCTGGTCTTTTAGAGTTGACAGCAGAAAGGGAGTAGGGGAAGTAGTGCATTCCTAAAATGCTGTCATAGGTATTGGCTAGGCGGCTGAAGCTTCTGACTCTTGGCTATGGATGTGTCCCATTGGAGAATATACATCCAGGGGGTGGGGGGAAAGACCAGAGTCAAGGGTGAAATGAATGATGTGTCTCAGAGTCAGCTGCATCCAGGTAACGCTGGCATGTTCACTCCTAAAAACTCTGAGGGATGTGGCTCGAGACTCATGATATGAATGAGGGTGGATGCCGGAGCCCTGACAAATAGTTTGTTTAGTGACCAAAGTTACAATGGCACTGGAAAAAGTGACGTCCATTTTTCACACTTAGGACCATTGCAACACCCCCATGGTCATGTGATTTATATTTGGATACCTGACAATTGACTCGCATTTATGACAGTTGTGATTCCCATTTGATTCCCATTTCGATACTCGTGTTTCGCTATGAAACCATATGGTGGGGCTTAGTTTTGGAGGAGGAAAAATAAGGAGGGGGGGAATTGTGCCTCTGCCTACCTGCATCCATCGATATTCATTTGGCTAGCGTCCTGTCAGTGTGTGAGAGAGTTGAGGGCTGTTTGGAAACTGAAACAGTATTTGCTGTGTGAGCAAGAATAGCAAGGAGCCTGGGCGTGGCTTAGCTCAACTGTTCTGTACTAAAGGTGGTTGATGCTATGAAACTCAAACTGAAACTCCTCTGCTTGTGTTTTGCATTGGGAACAGATTTCAGGTGGGGAGGGGGAATAGAACTCCTTAGCATCAGAGCGTGTTAATAATAATAATATAGGAAATACTAATGCTCTGATGGTCGTTTTGAAAAATCCTTTCTTAGTGAGCACATAGAAGGCAAGAGGAACATATGTGCCAAATTTCAAGTTTGTAGGCTTTACGGTTCTGGAGATTTTGTGATGATGCAGGAGTGATATTTCGTTTTTTTAATATATAGATTTATTTGTCTGTAATTTTTTTATTATTAATTTGTGGCTCCAAATCTTACTATGTAAGCCACATGCCCAGTGATGAAACAAACAATGTATTTTATACCATCATTAAGCCATACTAAGAAAATAAATCCTCTAAGAATTTGCAGATCTATTGAAAATTCAAGTCATGAATAAGATTAAGTATTGGGGGATATATTTGACAGCAAGATGTAGTACATTAAAGAGAATAATTATGTCAAACTTAAACAGCAGATAGCGCTACACTTGGCGAAATGGGAAAATCTACAACTGTCACTAATAGGGAGAATTTCAACAATCAAGATGAATATATTACCCAGAATGTTATATTTGTTCCAAACAATTCCAATTAGGCTTGGAAAAGACTGTTTTGAAGATTTAAATAAAATTGTGTTGAAATATATATGGCAAGGTAAGAAAGCGAGAATAAAGTTAAAGCTTTTGCAAGATGCTAGAATTAGAGGAGGATTTGGGTTGCCTAATTGGGAGTTGTATTATCAAGCTACAAACCTGATGTGGGTCAAGGAATGGATAACATTAAGAAATTCTAGATTGTTGACATTAGAAGGACATGATCTGTTGTTGGGGTGGCATGCTTTTTTATGGTACAAGGGAACTAAAATTCAGGGGTATTTTAGAAGACATATACGGGAGTCTTTGTGGTTAAATTGGGAGAAGATTAAAAGACAATGTTATTTGAAAATTCCAGTCTGGTTATCGACTATTGAAGCATTTTCTTATCCTATAATATATAAAAATGAACAAACAGTCCGATATGGGGAAATATTGAATGAAAAGGGTGAACTTAAATCGATGCAAAAACTAGAGGAACAAGGTATAAAGATGAATTGGTTTTCATATGCGCAAATACATTCAAGGTATGATAAAGATTTTAAAACAGAAGGTTTCTATGACAAATTGACTGATCTAGATAAGATTTTGACAGGTATTGATGAAAAGGTGATTAAAAAACTATGGATATTTATTAGAAATTAAACTAGAAGAAGAACAAGTTAAAGAAACTATGATTGCTTGGGCGAAGAACTTTGGATATGGGATTGATTTAGAGAAATGGCAAAAATTGTGGTCTCAAAATTATAAAATGACTATGTCAACAGCTTACAAAGAAAATTTGTATAAGATGCTTTACAGGTGGCATTTCCCCCTGTTCTATATTAACATTCTTGAAACCCCGAGTTCTGATTGGTCCACATGGACCGCAACTTGATTGGCTAACTAAACTCCTGTGATTGGTGCACTAAGAGTCTACCGCGATTGGCCGAGCCGATCGCGGAAGATTCAAAGCGCTGCCATTGGCCGCCGAGACGCCGGCCGGCTGAATAAAGCCAAGCGGCTTGCAGGTCTTGAACTGTTCTGTATATTCAATAAAGAGCTGAATGTGCACTTTGAGTGTCGCCTCTCAATGCGACCCGATCTACCAGACCTAACACTGGCGACGAGGGTGGGATTGTGAGGCGAAGAACTACCCAGCACGTGGCAAATGGCGCAAAACGACCAGCAAGATGGCCAGCAGCACCCCGCCACCCACTCCCTTCGACCCAGCCACCGAGGACTGGGAGTCCTACACCGACCGCTTCCAGATGTTCCTGGAGTGCAGCAATCTCAAGGATGCCAACGGGCAGAGAAAACGGGCCGTATTCTCGACGCACTGCGGGCCT